CCATCTATATGTAAAACTACAGAACCCTTATTATATCTCTTTTTAGAAACAAGTTTTGTGCAAGCATTCAAGTTTAAAGTCAGTGCTTATAAAGAACTTGGCAAAAACATGATGGGAACGGGATGTCAGGGGAATAGATGATTCTCTCATCTGAAATGCATCATTAGCTTTTGGTTAAGTGTGCAATTAACATTAAAATTTACAATCAAGTATGACAGTGTTCTAATTTTACCTCCTTTAAATAAAAAAAAAAAATTAACTTAGTTACCAGTGTTACTTCTTTGAATCCCTTCCCTATGAGGCAAGCTGCACAGTAACATCATGTCATCCAGGTGACAACTAATACAAAAAACTTTTAAAAACACTGCATATTTGCCTTCTGAATGGCTACGTGGCTTGGGTTTTATTCTTGTTTACACTTTTTTTTTGTTTTATAATAGTAACTTCCACTCAGTATAATTAGCAGTTGTCATATTTTTGTTTGGAAAGATACTTCCCACAAAACCAGAGCAATGTTGCTTTGCACCCTCTTCCCAGCTGAGCCAGAAAGCTGTAACACGTGTTTCAGACATCCGCTACAGCTAATCTAAGACCCCTACAGGCTTCAGCAGTTAAACCATGGAAACATTTTTGTTAATAGGAAAGGAAAATATATACTTATCCTAGCAGTTTAAATCTGATAAGCAGCACCTTAAAAAAAAAAAATAAAAATCATACTGCAGTTTAAATATGCTATCTCCATCTGAACATCATATCCTTTTGCCTTTTAACCTGAAGTTAAATTTAATCTCTATTTGCCTTTAAAAAAGGGGCTTAAAAGTTGTTTCAACTGTAACATCAGATGCCAAGCCCTGTATTTAGTTATGTGTATTATTAATCACATATACGTTTGTGTCATGTGTAGTTTGTGTAACAAAAATGAGACTCCATTGTGTAGGGTGCTGTACAAAAGTATAATGGAACTGTAGTTAAATTCCTCACACAAAGCATGTATTGTGTGGTGTGCACAGTGTTGTGGTGTGCAAGTGTTTTGGGCTAAACACTGACAATGATTTTCCGTGAGTAAATTTGTGTTACTATCCAAAGAGCTCATGGAATTAACCTGGACTGGGCCAGCATGAAGGACCAGTTTGCCCCTCAGCAGTTAACTTCAATGCTATGTTGCTCAGGAATTCTGCTGTTATTATTACTTACCACCAATAGATACACAAACGCACAGAAGGAGAAGAAAAAAGAAATTTCACATTGCTCTCACCTAAAACCCAAATCACTTTTATTCATTCACCCTGCTTCCATCTGGATCTGGACAAAGTGGCCTTCTCTAGCTGCTAGGCAACCTGAATGCTGCATTGAGTATTAACTGTATGCATTTGGTAAGAATATAATAATGTTACCTTTGAGATTTATTTACAATAAAAAACATACCTAGCTGAAAATATAATAGCTTTCCTTCAGTAATCAGCAACTCTGGGAATACAAAATTGTTGGTCAAGAAGAATAATCCACACGTATACCCCAAATGCACAGAGATATTATAAATTGGTGCCTAACAAATATAACACAAGGGAGATGCTTTATATGAAAGTATTATTACAGATGGCAGTGGCATAAAAAAAATCTAATCGAAGAATTACACTTATGTAGATAATAGAATATTTACATAACATATGAATAGATTTACATAAGCAATGTTTTAAATTAGAAATCTTTAAATTACCAAACCTCATCCAACCACAAAATGAACCTTCTCAGTAAAGGTAATTTATTCTCTTTACATAGAGCCACCATTCCTAAACAAGACAGAAAAGACTTAAAATTGAAACACAAATCAACTGATCTTAGAGTTCTTTAAAGAAAAAAAAAAAAACACAAACAAACAAGAAACCTACAAAACATTATTTCACATAACCCCTCTCCAGACCATTTTAAGTTTTGTTCTCTAGCAGCAGAGCTATCATTCTACCTTAAATGAGTATCTCTGCTATGTTCCATTCCTCTCAAACTCAAGAGATACACCTTTCAAGTCTTTCAAAGCAGACCATTTCACAGATTACTAGGTCACTAGCACAACTGATAGGACTCTAATTAAAGTAACAATTTGAGTGATTGAAGCATTAATGCCAACAAAGCAAGAGGCCCACTAATTACATCAAAATTAAACAGAGCAGCACTCTTTTTTGATCATTACATTTGACAGCTTGTCAAATGCTGATTCACAGAATACAGACTTCCTCAAACTCAGCACAAACACAAAAGCTGGATCTCTAGCTTAAAAAACACCCATCAGTTTCTACCGGAGATATTAACCACAAAACAGGCCAGAATGACATTTACTGACACAGCGACACCATGTGAATTTTTCTTCGCTTTAAGAAAACCCAAGAAGCATTTTGTAGCTTGGGTCCTACACCCAAATACTGTGCTCTTCTGTTCAACATAGGCAAAGCCAGTGTAGAAAGTCCCACTGATCACCAATTTCTCTAGATCACAGCACAGCAGATTTGTAGGACATAAAACAAGGTTATTTGTGCACAGCCCTTGAGAACCTCTAGTCTGACGCAGTTGCATACAGTTAAAAGCTCCATAAGCACCCACGAACTCAAAGAGACCTGGCTCTACAGGGCAGAAAATATTAGAGGCTCCTAGTAGTACTCCTCTCTAGATTTTATAAAGATGTTTAAAGTGGTTAATTTAAACATTTGTACCTTCTCCTTCTTCACTTATTAGTTTCACATTAAACCTGATTCAGGTAAGATTGAACATCAAGCTTAGGGGGAGCATAATTAAAAAAAAGTCAACATAACTGGAAAGTTGTAAGTAAAAGCAAAGCATTCAATAGAGCCACAGGGTCCCACACTCACAGAAACTCCATAGCAGCTGTAAATCATTTAAAAAAGTAATTGGAAGACAGGTTGGTAAGAAAGCTCTTCCTTCCTACACACAGGAACACATAGTTTTGATATGCTAATAGCCCACACTACTATTACATGTGCCCTGAAGAACACATCAAAATTACAAGTTTCATCGCAGGATAGGCAGGAGGTAAACAAGTTCAAATACTGTGTTTTTTATAGAAGTACCACTTAATATTTTTGTTAAGGTCCTTAAATTATGAGTCACATCAGGGATCCATACAAGGAACACAGAGAGAGAGAAGAAAAGAACACATCACTCTGGAAACTGTCAAACACTTCATGAACCTTTAATTGAAAATAAATTTTAAAACAGTGTTATTGGTAACTCCAATATTGCAGGTCCTGTAGATAGCACCCTCTGAGGAAGCCACCTGACATCTCTTTTCGTAAGAAGTTTAAGGTTATTAAAGCCTTTTTCACCCCAAAGCCTACAGATTTAATTAAAATTATTGCTTAATTAATTTTAATCCCATTATCTTTGCATAAAAACAAATATTTCATGGTGCTTTCCGTCCTGCTTTTACACAAATTATTAGTGAATTTCATGTTCTGAGATTAAGAAAGACAAACTAGATAGAAATCATCTTTAGTTGATTACGGGGTCTGAAGTCCAAACATTCTTATTACCTAAACCCTAAATTAAATCGAACAATTTTATGCCAGGTTATCTACATTAGTTTCCATGCTAGAAGCCTGCAACATGAAGAGGGCATTTTATTAAATAATTTGTTGTACCTTGTACCCAGCAACACAGAAATAAAATTAACCATATTGTTGCAGTAAAAAAAAAAAAAAAAAAAAAGTTCCTCATTTTAGGTTCTATTTTTCTGTGATTATTCAAGACCATCACAATAAATAAAAAACCCAATGTAATTACTATAATGTTACATTTAAGTGCAATAATTAAAGATTAATTATACATCAAGTATATATAGATCAATTAGAAGACTATGCTCATAGCTGGGGCACGGTTTGGGTAGAAATGCTATACAGTTTCAACTCAGCTTCAAGCCTGAACTTTAAGCTTATCTTGTGGGAGAAACCACTAAGTAGACAGCTACTTCAAGTTAGTGAGCTAACACCTCTGATATTGTTTAAGAGAATATTAGCCTCCTATCTTCCATCTGAGATCTTTTCTTCAATGAAAAGCAGAAGAGAAGAATCTTGCAAACTTGAATTCCAGCTGGAGCCCCATGGTACTTTAAAACACAGCAATCTGAGCCTAGGTTTTTTAAACAAGATAATTCAATGGGATACAGAGGGTTTAAGCACCATCAGAATAAATTGCATTTGCACTGTAGGATTTAAGTCATTTGTCATCAAGTAGAATGAAAGAAAGCACTTGCTTTCCATAAAAAGGAACATTATGAGCTACTGACACAATTGCTTGCAGCTCAAGAACTCTTTTTTTTTTTTTTTTTTTTTTTTTTTTTTTAAATGGGCTAGAATGCTGTAATTCAAAAAGGCTGAAAAGGTCCCTTGACTGGGTGTTTGAGCAGAGGGAGCCTCCAGTTTACCTGCAGAAGTTCTCTCCCCATTTGATTTACCAAGAAGCCATGTCAGCAGAGATGGTTTGAAGCGTACCTCTGACGCCTCTGTCTTCTCCCTGAGGAATTCTGGATGGATGAAGTGAGCTGGCTTGGTGCTGCTGAGTGGGCACATGAGTTGCAGGAACACACAAGTACCTTTTTTGCAAGACATAAGCTGACAGTAGAAACTATGCCTACAGTTTACTCATTAAGTGCTCACTGAATTTCTTCACCTACTAGTGCTTACTCAAACAGCACCAGCTACTAAAGGGCTCCAGACCTGCTTTGGGTTTGCTGCAGTTTAATAGTACACCGACTCCTGAGAACATATAGCAGCTGCTTAAGACGATAACAGGAGTCCCACCAGTTGAGTGAGAAAGCAATACAAAGAGAACTTACTCAGCTATACTGCAGGGATACAAATGATACACACACAAAACTTATGTACAGTCAAACTCTATATTAATTTAAAAAGCTACTTCCAAACAAGCTATTTTTTACTGTCATGTCTTTGCTGGGATTAATAGAAAGCATTTGTGAAAACACTGGCACTTACCCAAATCTGCAGTTTCACCCGCTTGTCATTTCTATACACTGTTTTCACTTTGAAGTCAATTCCTACTGTGCTAACGAAGGCTGGTGTGAAAGTGTCATCAGCGTATCTGAAGAGGAAGGATGTTTTGCCCACGCTGCTGTTGCCAATGATCAGGAGTTTGAACATGTAATCAAAATTTTGATCTGAAGTATCTTTCTGCCTGTATCTGGCATCTGTTACTGAAGCCATCTAAGAAAATGACAAATATTGAAAAAGAACAGATTTAAGAGCAGTTCAGCATTTATTTTCCTTAACTGTGTACCATATGTTTAGCTTATCTCCCTTCCAATATCGTAACCACTATGTCTGCTGAATAAAGAGGATCACACCTTGAAATCTTCTTTTAAATCCTGGCTTTAAATTTGTATTATCCACTTGTACTGGTGAGATTAGCAAACCCAAGAAATACACCTGTTGCACCACTCTGTGTTTAAAAGAACAACATATGGCTATTACAGATTGTTCAAATACTAGTGGGGAAACAGCATTCTTTACTCCTGTAGCAGGGTGCCACTTCTGTTGCTTCAATAAACTGGAGTACTGCAACCAAGAACTAAAATCTTCGACAGTGCATCCAACTATGCAATTCATTAAGTAGCCTCCAAGGCAGGTAAAGCTAATTCCTTTAATGAATACTAAGGAAAATCTGTATTTCTAGCAGATGCACCACCACCATGTCATCCTTTGAAAAGTTCTGTCCTCAACATTTACAGAAGGAAAAAAAAAAGCCACTGGAGAAGATGAAACACTAGGAATTTCAGCTGAAAACTTTGAATCCATGCAAAACCTATTTACTTTCAAGACTGCAATTAAAATAAACAGAACTTGCATAAAACATGAGGGCTCAGTGGGGCTGCAGGCAGCATTTGGAAGAGATAAATTATCCCTTTTGATTCTGGGAGAGGTGAGAGTTGTGGATGTTAATGGGGTGGGGAGGGGGGGAAGATGCTGCCTCAGAGATCCCTCCTTCTCCTGTGGCCCTGAACTGGATTCAGGAACCCAAAAACAACTGCAGAGTCTGAAATACCAAGATGGGTGGAACTCACTGAGCCCCAGCTGCTTTAACGCATGCAGCTCAGACACTCTGTGGGAGAAAGCAAGCCCCATCCTTTTCATCTCTGTTTGTACAGAACAGAGGACAACTACATAGACCAAATGACTACAGAGAGGAGAAAAAGGAAGCTTTAACTTTTAACAGATATACCACCCTTTTAATCTCTAATGCTGTTTCAAAATCTACCCCGTGTCAAACAAGCAAAGGTCTTGGTGCCTTACAACCAGTTAGGGGATTGTGCAAACTGAGGCAATGACAGTGTAGGTCTGATAGCAGCTACTCATCCACCAAACCAGGGCACACGATACTTGCGTGCAGTGTCAGAAAGCACTGCGTGGACACCAAAGTCTCTTATTCCCCCAGCATCCAAAGAAAGAAGGTAATTTTCCCCTCAACTCAGATTTGTGGGCATCTTTGGGAGCAAAACTCCCACCAATGTCTACTCTCACCACACCATATGCCCAAATACTTTCTTTCCCCTTCTTAGCAAGTCTCACCAGCACAAAGGACTTCACTCACTGAAGGAAAAAAAAAAACAAACAGTTCAAAACTCACTGTAGTACTGTAGTTAAACAGCTATAAACAAAAATGCTGTCCAAAGGCAATTTAAATTGGGATGACAATTTAGTTTAAATTCCCAGCAGAGAGGAAACAAACCAAAACCAACCCAGTTTTAACTTCAGTAAAATATGCATGACTATCTCTGACTAAACCCATGCAACTTTCTCACACAGAAAAGGGCTGGTGCAGCAGACATCTCGTTCAGATTGCATTAACAAGGACAGTTTATGAAGAACTTTATCCATAGCTCAATAGTCAACAGCTGCACTGAATGCAGTAAAATCTTCCCACAAGTAATACTCCATAGGATACAACACAATTCTGATACACACTCTTCTGAACTTCAGCTGCTATTCAGTACCACTACAGTCCTTTGCAAGCACTCCAGAAAAAAACAAGTACTAATTTTCATCTCACCAGTGTATCAGAAAAGGGCTCTTCTACCCATGCCTTATGGTTCTTAACAAGAATTTCTAAAATGGAGAATTCAACATCCAACTGACTTACACACACACTCAGGCAGAGGCACTCACTGCCTCAGTTCAAATGTTAGAAATCTCAGCTGCAAAAATTACAAATCCAGATGATTAGTTGATTTGTACAATCACCAAGCCGCAAGACAGTAAGAAGTTCTCTATTCAAGTCATTTATCTTCCTCATATACATATGTAACTTCCACAAATACCCCTGAGAACACATGTACACTTACTAAAGAAGAAAAAAAAAAATTAAAACCTCTACTTCTCCATTCCACTCACAGAGGCTTGAAAAAAGTGAGATGGCCTCGTCACTTGAAGCCTGGACATTTAAAGAATCAGAGGCAGACCTTTAACAAATAAATATTCCACTAATCATACAAGAATCAATATCTTCTTTCTATCCCTATCTTCGCAGAACCTGTCCCCACATTCCAAGCCAATCTTTTAAATGAAACACTGCTGCTTCTATTAACCCCCCTAGATTGCTATAATCAAAAGTGTACCTGGCTACAAATGTGACTTTCAGATCTCAGTTAAAAAAGCAATTACAGAATGCGGCCAGCTAGAGCAGCTTTGTTAGAAGCACAATGCAGAAAATAAGATCAAACGATACTTGTACAGAACGTGGGGCTGTTGTCATAGAAGCACAACACTCGCTGGCCTGCGTGTGCCACTGTGCTATGCTGAAGATGCTGCGGGCCAGCTCCTCGAGTCATTAAAGGCAGCATCAAAGAACAAAAATTTCAAAGAAAATTCCATCCCCTTGCTTAAATTTGACTTTTTCCTTTCCCCTCCTCTGGTCAATAGAGTGAAACTGAAAGGACTTTAGTACTAATTACTGATTGCTCCTCTGACTGCAGATCATTACTGAAGCTGTACTCCACCAGGGTTTGGGCTGAAAGCATTCACAGCCCCTGAATTTATGCTTGAATCCTGAAGCCAGGAACCAGCAGACCTTTCTCGCAATTCTCCTCTCCTCCCTTCCTCTTCCCCACTTGTTGTCCCACCCCTGCTCCAAGCCCTGCCTAGTTATGCCCGTCCTGAAGACCACACAAAGTGCTGGTTCAGAGAACAGAGAGATCCCAGTTAAAAATAAATCCTCCTACAACTTCTCCTGTTTTGCAGGGCTGTTTTTAAAGTTGCTTCGGTTCCTGATCCAGCACAGCTGAGGGAGCCAAGCAGAGAGGACCAAGTGGTGGGAAGCGATGGCAGTTGCTATGCTACTGAGAGAAAGGTCCACCAACCCACAGCTCCTGCAGGCCCTCCGCACCTGGCGGAGATTCAGCCTCAGCAGGAGCAGGAAAAGGTGACAATGATGTCGGGCAGCTCCCACCCAACTCATCAAAACAGCTCCCTCAGCCATCACTCCTAGAGGGTTTTATTCCCTCCTTGGTGAAACGACATTTAGTTAGCAGTGTAACCCCCCCTGCTCTCTGGGTATGTAGCTACATGCGCCCTTTGCTTAGGATGACTCCAAATACAGCAGCATCTCTGCTGTTTTACGAGGACATGCAGAATAACTAGGGTTTTGTTACAGAAGACCAAGTCAAAGATGACTGGCACACAGAGTACAAGAGAGGCTCGTGACTGTTTCCATTTTCACTGCCTTGGAATAATCCTCAAGAAAATACCAATACAGGAAAGATTTAGATACACTACAGAAAACCCATTACACAGAAGAAGAAAAAGCTGCCAATCAGATTTCCTTGAGAACACTTCAGTATGAGACCTTGCATCTTTTAGCTCTTTGCCTGGGCAGCCCACTTTGTAGCTAAGAGCATACTAATATTGACAACCTGTTTTCCCCTATGCTTTAGCAATGGGAACAAGTCCTCAAACACATCCACTTACAACTAGTTTTGCAAGAATAGGCAGTTATGTAGCTATGTAGCTACCTTATTATTTTCCTATTGAGGAAAAAGCCTACAGTGTGACCTTGTCTTTTATTAGACGAGAAACCACATAGGAGGAAGATGCTACAAATGCTCTAAAGCAATAAAATCTTAATCAGAGCTTATTAGCCACCAAAGAATATGTTCCTCAGTCTATGTGGCTCTCCTGCCTTTATTTTCTATTTTGGTCTAATGAAGTTAAAAAAAAGAGAAACCTATCACCCTAAGACACCTCTAGAGAAACCAGCCTTTTCTGCTTTCAGTACTCCCTGAAATGTGTCATATAGTTGGCTCCACACAGCTGTGCTCTCTAGTTTGTGAGCAACATCATGGTAAAGACTCAAACTATTTTGTAGTGCAACACAAACCATCAAAGTGTTACTGCTCTTACAAATCACTAGAAGCAGTCACTGCTGCCCCTGTTCTGCTGTATTTACTACCTACAGCCAACTTCAGTGAAAAGCATTACATGAACTGTCTAAAGCTGATGCTTTGGGCTAGAAATCAACTGGTATGTATCAGCATCCCTTTATTTCCAGAAAAAAAACAGGTTGACTTAAAGAGTTGCCAGCCTTCCTGGTTTTGGATACACACTAACAGAGGGCTGTTCTTTTCTACCACAGACAAGAAACAAGAAATCTGATCGTTACCTTGGAAGTTTTGGTGTCTCTGTATTAGCAACCACATGGGTCTGTTCACAGAATGACCGTTTCCAAGTCCCATTCTCTCTCACAAGATTGCAAGGAAGAAGTCTGAATTTGGAGAAGAGTCTCCTTGTCAGTCACCTCGGTTAACCATGAAACGTGGTCACGCCAGTGGAACTTACAATTCAAACTACACACTAAGACATATCTGCAATTTCAACTTGGTATGAACCTGTGCATTCTGTATATTACAAGTTCTGTGCGTTTCTAACAGCAGATCTTTTAGTATTTGTCACTGCTTTATTTTTAAAGCCAAAACTGAAATTTACTACATATGTTTTGTGTTATATAGGGTCAGTAGCAATTTAAATGTGACTGTTTTAACTGTTTCATCATCTGTTATCACACAGACCTTTCTTTTATTAGGCAGGTGAGAAGATGGTGGTGAAACCGCCCCTGTGTATTTCTAAGAGTCCAAGATCTTATAACAGCATGCTACTCCAGGCTGGGTCCAGCCTCATTTTGTGTGTGTTCAGCAACTGAGCCTCTGCTGTTTCTC